ATTTAGGGTTTAGGGTTTATAATAAGCTTAAAGACTTTGCTCGAAAGAAAAGTTGCAGCTTCCTTTAAAGGACCCCAAACGAAAGCACACCCAGGAGCACGAGTCCTTAGATGAAGCTGCCGACCGTTTTGCGACGAAGCTCGCGGCGGGTCGTTCTGGGACCGGCCCGCAACCATGGTTTTCGTTGTTTTATGAGGGGGCTTCTACATCGATACTTGATTACGCCTTAGAGTTTAGGGTTTAGGGTTTAGGGTTCTACATCGATACTTGATTCGAGTTTAGAGTTTAGGGCTTAGGGTTCTACATCGATACTTGATTACGCCTTAGAGCCTTTTTTTCAGAGTCTTTGGGATGCTGTTAGGGATTTCCGGGTGTTAGGGTGGGGTGCAGTAGCTACAATCTGGAGCCTGCAATGTGATGCCTTCTTGGCTTAACCCTAAACACTACACCCGAAACCCTAAACCCCCAATCCCTAGACCCTAAACCCTAAACCCCCTAAACCCTAAGCCCCTAAACCCCAGACCCTAAATCTTAAACCCCTAAACCCTAAACCAGATTCCCCGTTATTCTTCAGAGATTGGAGCTTCAGGTTTTGCACGCCGGGTCTTTGGGTCACAAGATGTGGGTTCCGACTGCCTCTAATGTAGGGCCCTTAATATTTAAAATGCGGTTTCGGGGGTTCCTGGTTATAATTATAGTAGAATGGTCATCAAAACCCTATTCTAACTGTTAAGGGCCCTAATATGACAGCCTGCACTCCTGTCTTACTGCCTGGTCTATAAAGAGGCTCCGGAGCTATTTGCCGAGGGTTTACAGTTTAGTAGTCGACAGAATATAGAGGCCTGGGTATTTTGCAACGATCCCGCATAGTCTTACAGTGATGTAGTCAATGGACAGCTGTGTTATGAGATACCTCAAGACCCTAGATTGATTCTCAATCCCTTAGATTATGTTGTCGATGCTTCAGACGCTTCCAGACACTGTTGCCTGGATGTCGGCATCGGTGTTTGCGCTAAACCCTAATCCCAATCTCGAAGCCACTCAAACTCTAAACCTGAAACCCCTAAACCTCTAGATCCTAAATCGAGCTCGATATACGGGTTTAGGTTCTAGAATTTAGGGTTTTAAGGCTCAGGGCTTTGAGGTCAGATTTTGCGGTTCATGGCTTTGGGCTGAGTGTCCAGAGTTTGCTCCTATTCGGACCTCTTCAAAATAGTAGGATGTTAGGCAGCTAGGCGCCTTAAAGAAAGCTTCTGCAAACCCGCAAGATTTGAATCACAACCCGCGGTTGAAGTAACAGCTCTTGCCTCGGAAGTGCTCCGCTGAACAGTCTGGGCAACCCTAAACCCTAAACCC